AGAGAGAGAGAGAGAGAGAGAGAGAGAGAGAGAGAGAGAGAAAGAGAGAGAGACATGTGTTTGAGTATTTTGGGAGGGAGGTGTTTGAGTTATGTTTCATTTCATGTTGTGGGTGGGTATGAGTAATAAGATGGGTTATAATGTTAGTGTATATGGTTATATTGGTTGGGTTAATTGGGCTTGTTTATTAATCTAATAAATAAATGAAAATAAAAAATAATTACCTGGCTACCCCCAAGCCCAGTGCTCCACGCTATACCTGGCGCTGGGGTGTTTTGATACACTGTTTTGGGTGCCCTAGGTAGCGTGGGGCACTAGCCTGGGCACTGTTTCGACGATTTGTTTTTGTATAACATCCCGATCCCCGAGCCTTTTATATACCAAATTTGCATGTTCCACACTATTCTACCTATAATTCTATGCCTACAAAGCAAATGCAAACTCTATTCTACGCTAACTAAAAAAAAATTAAGAAGCTAAACTGTGAAAGCAATAAAAACTAGGTTACCTCCTAACAAGTGCATGCTTTAACGTTGCGGCACAATGCAGGGCATCACTTACTCATCAGCGAGTACAACTTTGGTCTTCTCCCGATCAATTATACCTCCCTAATAGTGCTTTACACTGTGTCCATTCACTAAAAATTTTCTTTCACCATTTAACGTGCGCAACTCAATTGCACCATAATGAGTGACTCTTTCCATCTCGACTTTAACTTCCTAGGAAACAACTTGAGCTTAGAATTGAACAATAATACTTGTTGGCTTGGCTCGAAGTAGCGTGGCTTGATACGCTTATCATGCCATCCTTTTGTCTTTTCTTTATATAGCTTAGCATTTTCATAAGAGTGCAGCCTGAACTCATCTAACTCATTCAACTGCAAGAGCCTCTTCTCACCCCACGGCTTCAAGGTCCATATTCAACTTTTTAATGGCCCAATATGCTTTGTGTTCAGTTCAACAGGCAAGTGACATTCCTTCCCATAAACAAGCTTATAAGGCGACACCCCAATTGGCATTTTATATGTAGTTCTATATGCCCACAAGGAATCATCAAACTTTGCAGATCAATCCTTCATATTCACACTCATCGTCTTCTCTAATATTTTCTTTATTTCTCTTTTAGACATCTCAGTCTATGGCGGACTCGGTATTTAGCTAGAAGATTATTCAACAACCGATTGCAAAAATGTGTCCCTTCATTAATAATCAAGGAACGTGGAGTCCCAAACCTCAAGAATATGTTCTTTTCACAAATGCATCTACCACCATGACATTATTTGTTGGCAATGCAATCGCCTCTACCCATTTTGACATATAGTCAACTGCTAGCAAAATGAATTTGTTTTGTAACGACCCGAATAATTATTTTTCTTTCTAGAACCCTGTTTTCCTAAATAAGATATTCCGTACTTGCTTTCACTGATTTATGACTTGCGGAGATGGTTAGTTCAAGATTTGAAAGAGTTTGGGTTGAAATCAGAGCACTTAGTTCTATAAGGTTGGCTTAAATGGCCAAGTTTGACTTCGGTCAACATTTTGAGTAAACAACCTCGGAATTGGAATTTGATGGTTCCAATAGGTTTGTATGGTGATTTCAGACTTGGGCGTATGTTCGGATAGGGTTTTGCATGACCAGGGAGTGTTTTGACGCCGAATAGTGAAAGTTGGTTCGTGAAGGTTTTGAAAGTTCTTTAAATTTGGTTTGGAGTAGGTTTTGGTGTTATCAAGGTCCAAACGGGATTCCAAGACAGGGAATAGTTTCGTATTGTCATTTAAGACTTGCATGCAAAATTTGGTGTCATTCCGAGTAGTATAAGTACGTTTCGGCGTATTGGAAGTAAATTGAAGAACTTGATGTTCTTAAGTTTGGTTCGATTAGTTTTAGGGTACGATTCTTAGTTTTGATGTTGTTTCAGGCGTTCCGTGAGTTCGAGTGAGTCCGTTTTATAATTCCTTTGGACAGGGTCTTGGGGGCTCTAGGTGCCATTCAAACGATGCGCGAGTTGAGTTTGAAACTCAACAGGGCTGCTGGTGCACCAGTTCTGGTATAACCGCACCTGCGATCCTATTCTTGTAGGTGCGAGCCAAGCCCCTCAGATGTGATCCAAGGATGGCAAACCAGGTTCCGCATATGCAGTTCCCTATACGTAGAAGCGGTACCGCATAAGCGGTAGCCCGTCCGCAGGTGCGGCCCCAGCTGGCCCAGCCAACTCCACAGAAGCGGACATCTGGTCCGCAAAAGCAGATCCGCAGGTGCGGCCTATGCACCATAGGTGAAAAAATTGCTGGGGCAGAGAGGTTCACTTAATACGGGACTTAAGCAATTTTCACTCATTTTCTCTCACTCTCTAGGCGATTATTGGAGCTTCTTGAGAGGTTTCCACCTAGCTTTTAGAGGTAAGTAATTTATACTTTTTGTGAGTTCGATACATAGATTTTGGGTAGATTTCAACATGAAAATTGATAGAAATCATGGATTAGATGAAAAACCTAGGGTTTAATAAGAATGAGATTTTTACGATAAAATTGACCATGAAACTTAGTGATAATCATATATTTATGTTCTTTAGGTCATGGGAAACAACTTCCTTCGAAAATTTCTGGAATCCAGACACGTGGGTCCGGGGGTTAATTTTAGGAATCTTGTATTTAGAGTTGGGAAATTGCTTTAATAGTTAGAATATGAACTCTTGAACATATATTGATTAGTTTTTACACAATGTGAATAGTTTTGGATCATTCGGCTCCGATTTGAGGGTTTGAGCACATTCTTGAGTTTGGAAGTAGGCCTTGGGACGAGGTATGTCTCTTTTATAACCTTGTAAGACGAAAATTTCCCATAGGTGAATTAATTAAAATGTGATTATTTGTGGGGGCTACGTATGCACGAAGTGACGAGAGTCCATACGTAACTACTATTCCTGCTATGTCCCAGTAGTTTTAGGCTTACACCGTGCTTTATGGATACTGCTATCTGATCATATTTGTTGAATTGCATTGAATGGAACTAAGTGAAGGAATTTAAGATTTCAAAGGTCTCAAGTAAATTATTATTTTGAAAAGAATTGAGAAAAGTTATGTTATATTTACATTTAACCGCGTCGCAAGTATATTCTGCGAGCGGGGGACTATTTCCACTACTCTTATGGGAGCGGGACGTTCACCTTGGTAGATTAATAGATGCATCTATAGTTCGCGCCGTTCGATCCTCAGCAGTGCACAGTTCACATTTATGTTGGATCGGGCCGAACATCCTCGGTGGTATTCGTGTGTGATACTAGAGTTGAAAACTATTTAAAACCTGTATAAACTATTGTTGAGAGATCACTTGTTTTAAATAAAGGAAACTTTTTATTGTTATTCTTAATTATGATGGGAGAATTGTTCATCTCTAGATATTATGCTCAAATTAGAAACTTCATATTGTTATATTGTTGGCCTTAGTAAGTGTCGGAGTCGACCCCTAGTCACTACTTCTTTAAGGTTAGACTAGATACTTACTGGTATATATTTTTATGTACTCACGTAACACCTCTGTACTTGATTGTACAGGATTTGAGGCAGGTGCATATGGTCACCATTCCGGTGCGTAGATTCGACCCCCAACTCGAGAGTTTCCCGGTGAGCTGCCGTTTTGAGCCATTCAGCAACAGCTGGAGTCTCTCTTATGCTTTGTTTTCTGTCTATTTCCTTTCAGACAGTAGGCTAGCATTCTTTTGTATATTCTACTAGATTTCCCACAAACTTGTGATAGCAGGTCTTGGCACACACACTAGTAGACTTATAATTTTTGGTATTGTATACATGATTACAGCTTGTATTCATTGCTTCCGTTTAATTTTGTTTCATTGGTAAATTTATAAACCTTTTAGCAAATGAAGAATTTTATCCACTTAGTAATTTATTTAAATGGGAAATCACTAGTTGATCAGTGTTGGCTTGCCTAGCAATGGTGTTGGGCGCGATCACGGTCTATAGTGGAATTAGGTCATGACAGGTTTCCTTTGAACAATGGGAATGGTCCCATAAAATCTATCCCCCACATATCAAAAATCTCAACCTCAAAGATATTATTCAAAGGCATTCATGCCTCCTTGTGATTGTTCCTGCTTTCTGACACTGGTCACATTTCTTAACAAATGCATGGGCATCTTTGAATAATGTTGGCCAAAAGAAACCAGATTGTAATACCTTTGCAGCTATTCTATCGCCTCCATGATGGCCCCCATAAGATGAGGTATGACAATCATACAACACTAATTTTACCTCCTTTTTATGGAATGCATCTCCTCATCAACTGATCAGCACACTGCTTGTACAAATATGGCTCATCCCAATAGTAGAAATTCACATCATGTCGAAACCTCTTTCTAGCTTCAGATTCAATTTCAGGAGGAAGTACCCCACTCACAAGATAATTCACATTGTCTGCGTACCATGGAGGGGGGTCTTAGGTGATGTAGACATGTGATTTTTGACCCTCCTCAAGATGTTTTATATATTAGCACGTAAATATTTAATTTAGGCCTAATATAGCTATTTCAACTCATTTTTACTCTTTTACTTTATTTTATTACAAGAAAATAAAAATTACAAAAAAAATATATTTTATTTTATGTACCTTTCATAAAGTAAAAATAATAATAATAATATACAAAAAAAAGTACCTTATTTTTATCTTTATATAATTATGAAAACACAAAAATAGTTTCATGTTTGGTTTAATTAATTAGCATTAGCTTTGGATTGTGTAGTATTTTTATCTTATTTTAAAAGGAGTCAATTAAGGTATTGGATCACAATTTTAAGAGTTTTAGAGCCCAGTTCTTGGCCCAATTTGGATTAGTCCATTAAGCTTAAGGACCCTTCTAGACTCTTCTTTGGAGCAAAAACAAATAAAAAAGACCTAGGGACTAATGGGAAAAATACACAAAAATACACCTAAACCTAGACTCTACATATAAAGGGATGCTTAAAAATCCGAAAGGGGCTAGGGCCTAAGAGACTAAAAAAATCAAGCAGCTGAACAACAGGACCCCCGTCCCCCTGAAGATCGTCTTCTTCAGTCCACCCCCTCCCCGTCATCGTCTTCTTCAGAGGACACAAACAAAACCAGCCAAAGCCGCTCCTTCTCCTTCATCTCACAAACAACAACCCCCTTTCTCTTCACCCCACCCCAAATGACACTTCAACTTCTCCTCTAATCAAACCAGTGACGAATTCACTGGAAAACGCCACGACGCACACACCAGGTGTATAAAAGCGAGGGGTGACTGCTCGTTCTTCACTGCCCAAACACCAAGAACAGAACGCAGCGACACAAGGTCTCTAACGAGCTCGAGTTGATTCTGTCTGTCACCTATCGAGGTTGGTTCGCGGTTCTGCTCATTGTTGAGTTTCAAACTAGTAAAGTAAGATGCTTCATTTGAGGTCCATGCTTTCTTATCATTTGTTTTAGTTTGACAACAAAATGTCTCTGCCTGTTTTTGTGCTTTTGGTGTTTAATGTGGTGATTTGCAGCGCTAATTTTAGACTTGTTTGAGCTGGTTCTTTGTTTCGAATTTCTTTTGTTATTATAAGAAAGTAGTGGAATTCATATTTTGTTCTGCAAATCTGTACCAACGTGCGCTTATATGGGTCATGAGAGCATTCAGATAGTATGTGAATAACTAATAAATTAGAGTGTAGTTGGCATGGATGGAAGGTGGCATTTCCTAATATAATTAATCCTCACCTTGTTGCTCTCTTCCTACACAAAGTTTTGATTGCCAATAAATGGAGACGACGCTATCAGTTGTACTATATTCCGTTGTGATTAATGATTAGAAAGAATCTATCTGTTATGGTAATTGTTTTAGGTAAAATCGATTCCAGCATTATTATGTGATGGTTATTTAGTGCTAATAATTGCTTTGGTTTTGATTTAGCGAGATTATAAAAATGAACTGCTTAAATTTCATTTGGAACCACTAGCCCCTTTTACTCACTGTTTGAATGTGGGCGTGATTAATTAAATATATTATCATGGCTACGGGTACGGTTCCCGTGGCGTAGTTGTGATACTTCATTTCAACTTAGTTCTAAATATGAATATCCGTAGTTCACTTAATTGAATGCCTTTCCTTTAATAAAATCGAGGCGTGCCATTTAGTTGATTTTCCATAGACCTCGCAAAGTTGAAAGTGCATAGTTGCTTTAGGCGCGTTATGTTAAAATTACCTTCCTAAACTCGGTATGCATTTCATGTGACACAAATCCCAATCTTAACAACGTTAAATAGAACATGTCCCGGACTGTGGGTGCATTTTATGTGGCGCAGTCCAAAGACATGATTTAGATGACGTTGAAATCTTCCTTAAAATAATTGAAAGCGATTTAAAGTTAAAATTTGCACATAGGTTCGTAATTGTTTAAAATCAGATAATTAAGCTGAATATAACAGTTGAGCGACCGTGCTAGAACCACGAAACTCGGGAATGCCTAACACCTTCTCCCGGGTTAGCAGAATTCCTTACTCGGATTTCTGGTTCGCGTACTGTTAAACAGAGTCAATCCTTTCCTTGATTCGGGATTTGAACCGGTGACTTGGGACACCATAAATCTCCCAAATGGAGACTCTGAATCTGATAAATAATTAATCCCGTTTCGATTGTCATTTTAAGTTGGAAAAAACTTCTTATATACTCCCTTTCGGGGGTATAGTGAAAAAAGAGGTGTGACAGCTCTGGCGACTCTGTTGGGGATCGAACCCAGAATCTCTAGTTCAGGGTTCAAGAATTCGAGCTTAGAATAATTGTTATAGTTGGCTTTATCCATTATCTGATTTTGTTACATGATTTGGTCCTAATGTGCTAATTGATTGCTTTTACCGCTTTGATATTCCGTGAACTGTATATAAACTGTTGCGAAATCCCTCTTCTCTCTAAGTCTTCTAAATCATGAAGAAGTGTGCATTTCGTGTGACTTCTTTTCTGTTAGAGTCATATCCCAAATTTAGAACGAGGTTCGGACAAGTTGCAAAGCCGATGAAGCTTCTGTATTCCCGGTACGCTGCTCCCCCTCGGCTCGAGCTGTCGCTCGGGTAAGCCAGGTCTAGAACAATAAACCCATGTTTTGAATCTAGAATAACTCAGCTTCATGCCGGATCCCAAGTAGGAACGCTTGTTTGCATCATGTGCACTTGACTTAGGGGACTAAACACAGGGGTTGGGTCCGTCTAGGACAGGTATACCCCAAAAAACAAAAGATCATCCTGATGCATCTTATGTGCTACATGTTGCATTTATTCAAGGGTAAAAGGGTCATTTGGCGGACCAATGATAGCTGAGGGTAAATGAAGAAATGAAAAAAAAATAATGAAAAAGAAAGAAGAAAGAAAAAAAAAAAGAGGGTGAAGTGTGAAGATAAAGCGAGTGGGGCCTAATTATGTTTTCTGTTACATTTTGTTAAGAAACAAAAGAGCTTGAAAAATTCAAAAGATTTTGCACTTTTTCATCATTTTCCGAAAAATCAAAAATAAAAAAAAGGAAAAAGAAAATTCAAAAAGACTTTACATGTTTCATCATTTTTCGAAAAAAAAAGACAAAAAAATGTGTTTTCTATAAGTCAGTTGTTTTTTTTAATTCTCGCCTGTATGCAATCTGCCCAAATTACGTGGGTCTGATTCTCACCGGATGTGAGATACGTAGGCAAACCTCATCGGTTCCGGCCCAAATTTTCAAAAATTCGAAAAAATATGTATATTTGTTTTATTCTTGTTTCAGAAGTGTTTCCTTCTAGATCATCTCAGAGGATACTGAACCTGCACTGGTTTGTTACATCAGATACTTACCTCCTCTGTGATGCTTTAGTTATGAAGATTGGGGTGTGTTACAGATGTAGAGTCAGTCTCCTTGGTGCTGCGATTACTACTGTCTGAATATCATGTAGCCCATTATGTGATTGAGGCATCAAAAGAAGGGAAGATACATTCCACTTTTCCAGGAATAACACACATGAAATTGTGTTGCTGTGACTACTTCAACATCGTATGTTGGGGCTAGTATTCCTACTGTGTGGACATGCTTTAATACACAGTGGTATTAGCATTGAATTATGCTCAATCTGTGGTTGAAGACACCCATATGGAAGAGATACAGCCCAATTTCCTCAGGAACAATGCACAAGGAATTGTATTGCTTGGTCACAGTGGCTTCAGTCCATCAACACAACGAAGCAGATTGATTTATCATATTGGTGTTTTGCTGCTCGACTGAGTTTGGCTATGATGCTACACGAAAGAGAAATGACAACAGAATTACTGATCAAGCTCTATTGAAGAATAATCTCAGTCTGCGGTGTTTTGACAAATCAACTACTACTGAATCACGTTTCACATGCTCCAGTGCTGCTACAAAAGGTGAAGTGTTTTTTCTTCGTAGTGCCCAGATGTTACGAATAGAGCAGTAGTTTTTGATGGGCATCAAATACAGGGATACCAATGTTCAGTAAGTGTTGCTCTCATTCAACACAAACATTATGCCACAAAAAGAGAAAAGCAGGACACAAAAGGGGAACACATGGTAACAATAGTAAACAGGACAGCATGGATTATGAAGTTGACAGATTTTGCGCACACAGCTATGGAACGCAGAGAATTCAAAGAAATAGGGAACAATAGTGTACTTATGCTTCTCTTCTGGCCCAACCTTCAAATGGTGATATTAGTATTTATACTCATTCCAATGGAGGGCAAGCTGATAAATGTATGGGTATGACTATGGACATCACAGAAGATTCATGCAGACAAATGGAATTCAGTTATAGAAAGCTGAAACAGCAGTATACAACTACAAGCAGGAAGGCATCAGGTTTTTTAGCATATACATGCAAGTTGAGTCGGGCAGAAATTTCGTGTGTTGTTTTGCAGGGTACTTTACTGTAAACAGACCTTGTCACTCATTACGACCACTATGGGTGGTATTAGCACCATGTGTTCATTCCCTTGAGGAAGGAAAGGTGACATGCACAAGCATGCTTAAACAATTTTGGAAAAGTTGCTGCTTCAAACGCTAATTTGGCAATGGATGCTGACACGTTTGGAGCACATATGGTACATATTGTTAGAGCAGCAATTTTCTCCTAAGCAAGGACAATCACAGGGTGCAAGGAAATCAGCACCAAGCAGGAGGACACTATACGAAAATGAAACTAAAAGAAGCACAACAGGAATGGCTGGATTTTCAGCAAATTATTTTGTGCAGGTTTCTGCGGATATTTTAGTCAGCATTTGGAATAACAAACTTATAAGGCAAAGATATGGGACTACTCAGGACAACGTCGAGTAGAGGACACAAAGAAAGAGCAAAGGAAATCTCCCAAAATGTGGAAATACACAGCAATTTGGTTCATTGGACAATGCAGCGTATCATTTTCTGAGCAGGCTCTACTATCATTTTTTCATGCAGCTAATAACCTTCAATGTTTCAGTGATCAAGCAAACAAAGGCGCTAGAGTTACATTTGAAAGAAAGCTGGGCAAGTATTATCGAAGCACAAGTGCAAACTGGACATAAAGTAAGAAGTTATGGTCATCAAGGCAATGACAGGACGACGGATATCTATGACAAAGAATATTAGTCCAAAATTCACATAATGCAGGTGGATCATAATAGTACTGGACTCAAAGGACTAGTTGGTGCAAATAAAGACTACAATAGACTTCATGTGATATCAATGATGGGCTCTTGTCCAAATTTGATAATAGGATACGTGTAGTTTTCAATGTTTACTCATTCATTTTGTAAGACTGTCATGACAATTTGTTCCTTTTTGTTTTATATATATAAAAACCTAGCCCTAGGCTATGCCTAGTGGATTGTTTAAAAAAAAAGAAGAAGTATTTTTTCCAAAAAATTCAAAAAAAAATCAGAAAAAAAGAAGAATTAAAAAAAAAAAATTCCTTGTTTAAAAGTCTTCCTTCCAAAAAAAAAAAGAGTTAGCTCATTTACTCCATTCTCGATCTGCCCGAACTACGCAAAGATCTGATTCATGCGGCGTCATGATACGTAGGCAACCTACATAGGGTTCGATCGAATCATTTTTTTATTATTAAAAGAAACACAAAAAAAAAAGGAGAGAAAATGATGGTGAAATTATGGGAGGTGAGAATTGAAAAGGAAGAAAAGAGCGACAATCAGAAAGAAAAGGGGAAAGAAAATGAGCGAGCTAAGAAGTGCGAGGAAAGAAAAAAAAAAGATTCAAATGGACAGATTGGGATGATGCCAAATGACCTTATGACCTTCGAAGTCATTCTAAAACCATTAATTGTTGCTAGGTGCATTGCACGCAATGTGATATTTCTGGTGTTAAATGCCATAACGCTAACGGGATGACCCCATTTTGTTCCTTTTGATATCTTCATAGCAGAAAGGTGGTTAGTTTGTGGTCCTCGAAGTAGTAACTCCTCTCCACAACATAAAGTCAAAATGCAATGGTAGATAACAACAAAACTAAGTTGGTTGATACAGGTGCCCAAAAACAATTGGTTGAACAGGACAATGGGTTGGTTGAAGAGGTGAGGATGTTAAGACAACACATGGCGGACATGTATCAGGCCTGGATGACTGGGAAGGCACCACCCCC